AAATTGAAAGACCTAGAGGAACAAGATCAAAAAAACTCAAAACCTAGCAGAAGACAAGAAATAACTAAGATCAGAGCAGAACTGATGGAGATAGAGACACGAAAAACCCTTCAAAAAAATCAATAAATCCAGGAGCTGGTATTTCGAAAAGATCAACAAAATAGACCACTAGCCAGATTAATAAAAAAGAAAAGAGAGAATAATCAAATAGATGCAATAAAAAATGATAAAGGGGATATCACCACAGATTCCACAGAAATTCAAACCATCATCAGAGATTATTACAAACAACCCTATGCACATAAACTAGTAAACCTGGAAGAAATGGATAAATTCCTGGACACTTGTATCCTCCCAAGCCTAAACCAGAAAGAAGTCGAAACCATGAATAGACCAATAACAAGATCTGAAGTTGAGGCAGCAATTAAGAGCCTACCACCCAAAAAAAGCCCAGGTCCAGATGGGTTCACAGCCGAATTCTACCAGACATACAAAGAGGAGCTGGTACCATTCCTTCTGAAACTATTCCAAATAATCCAAAAAGAGGGAATCCTTCCCAAATCATTTTATGAGACCTACATCATCCTGATACCAAAACCTGGCAGAGACTCAGCAAGAAAAGAAAACTTCAGGCCAATATCCATGATGAACATAGATGCAAAAATCTTCAATAAAATACTGGCAAGCCGATTGCAACAGCACATCAAAAAGCTTATCCACCATGATCAAGTAGGATTCATCCCGGGGAGGCAAGGCTGGTTCAACATAAGCAAGTCTATAAATATAATTCACCACATAAACAGAACCAAAGACAAAAAACACATGATTATCTCAATTGATGCAGAGAAGGCCTTTGACAAAATTCAACAGCCCGTTATGATAAAAAGCCTCAATAAACTAGATATTGATGAAGGTATCTCAAAATAATAAAAGCTATTTACGACAAACCAACAGCCAATATCATACTCAATGGGCAAAAACTGGAAGCATTCCCTTTGAAATCCGGCACTAGACAAGGATGCCCTCTCTCACCACTCCTATTCAATATGGTACTGGAAGTTCTAGCCAGAGCAATCGGGAAAGAAAAAGAAATAAAGGGTATTCAAATAGGAAAGGAGAAAGTCAAATTGTCACTGTTTGCAGATGACATGATTGTATATCTAGAAGATCCCATCGTCTCAGCCCAAAATCTCCTGAAACTGATAAGCAACTTCAGCAAAGTCTCAGGATATAAAATCAATGTGCAGAAATCACAAGCATTCCTATACACCAATAACAGACTTTATAAAGAGAGCCAAATCAAGAACAAACTGCCATTCACAATTGCTACAAAGAGTATAAAATACCTAGGAATACAACTGGGAAGGTAAAGGACCTCTTCAAGGAGAACTACAAGCCACTGCTCAACGAAATAAGAGAGGACACAAACAGATGGAGAAACATTCCATGTTCATGGTTAGGAAGAATCAATATCATGACCATACTGCCCAAAGTAATTTACAGATTCAACGCTATCCCCATCAAGCTACCAATGACCTTCACCGAATTGGAAAAAAAAAAATCTTAAACTTCATATGGAACCAAAAGAGAGCCCGCATAGCCAAATCAATTCTAAACAAAAAGAACACAGTGGGGGGCATCACACTACTGGACTTGAAACTATACTACAAAGCTACAGTAATCAAAACAAAACAGCATGGTACTGGTACCAAAACAGAGATATAGGCCAGTGGAACAGAACAGAGGCCTCAGAGGCAACACAACATATCTACAACCAATCTTTAACAAACCTGACAAAAACAAGCAATGGGGATAGGATTCCCTGTTTAATAAATGGTGTTGGGAAAATGGTTCAGCCATGTGCAGAAAGCAGAAACTGGACCCCTTCCTGACACCTTACACTAAAATTAACTCCAGATGGATTAAAGACTTAAACATAAGACCTAACACCATAAAAACCCTAGAAGAAAATCTTGGCAAAACCATTCAGGACATAGGTGTAGGCAAGGACTTCATGAACAAAACACCAAAAGCATTGGCAACAAAAGCCAAAATAGACAAATGGGACCTAATGAAACTCCACAGCTTCTGCATGGCAAAAGAAACAGTCATTAGAGTGAATCAACAACCAACAGAATGGGAAAAAAATCTTTGCATTTCACCCATCTGACAAAGGGCTGATATCCAGAATTTACAAAGAACTAAAACAGATTTACAAGAACAAAACAAACAAGCACATTCAAAAGTGGGCAAAGGATATGAACAGACACTTTACAGAAGATATACATGAGGCCAACAAACATATGAAAAAATGCTCATCATCACTGATCATTAGAGAAATGCAAATCAAAATTACATTGAGATACCATCTCACGCCAGTTAGAATGGTGATCATTAAAAAATCTAGAGACAACAGATGCTGGAGAGGATGTGGAGAAATAGGAACACTTTTACACTGTTGGTGGGAGTGTAAATTAGTCCAACCATTGTGGAAGACAGTGTGGCGATTCCTCAAGGACCTAGAAATAGAAATTCCATTTGACCCAGCAATCCCACTACTGGGTATATATCCAAAGGATTACAAATCATTCTACTATAAGGACACATGCACCCAAATGTCATTGCAGCACTGTTTACAATAGGAAAGACCTGGAACCAACCCAAATGCCCATCAATGATAGACTGGACAGGGAAAATGTGGCACATATACACCATGGAATATTATGCAGCCATCAAAAACTATGAGTTCATTTCCTTTGTAGGGACATGGATGAACCTGGAGACCATCATTCTCAGCAAACTGACACAAGAACAGAAAATCAAACACCGCATGTTCTCACTCATAGGCAGGTTTTGAACAATGAGAACACATGGACACAGGGAGGGGAGCATCACACACTGGGGTCTGTTGGGGGGAAACGGGAGGGACAGCAGGGGGTGTGGAGTTGGGGAGAGATAGCATGGGGAGAAATACCAAATGTAGGTGAAGGGAGGAAGGCAGCAAATCATGCTGCCACGTGTGTACCTATGCAACTATCTTGCATGTTCTTCACATGTACCCCCAAACCTAAAATGCAATAAAATAAATAAATAAATAAAAGAAAGAGAGGAAGGGAAAAAGCAAAGCCATCCAGACTACTGAAATCAGATCTCTACAGAGCTGTGAGACCTCAATATGAAGGCTTATTTCATGTGGCAAAATCATTTAAGGAGCTATTTTTTTTAATAATATTAATGAAAATAATTTTTATTTCTGATTCTAATTGGATGAATGGTTTAATGTTCATTAACCACAGGTATTTAGCTACAAACAAAGTGTTTAAAGAGAATAATCCCAGCATCCTAAAAGTGGAAAATCTAACAAAGTGATACCTAGCTGTTTATGACTTAACAAGCTGTTTATATGTTTGATATATAAGGAGAGTTTCCAGACATTGAAAGATATCCCATGACACTAGGATGTGTACAATTACAGACAATTGTGTTATTTTAATTTACTAGTAAAGGGAATTTTCTGACTATAGGATTCTTTGAAAAATGCAAAAATATACAGAGAAGAAAACAAGTCACTTTAGAGGCAATCTCTTGTTAATAATCAATAGATTTCCTTTCAGTCTTTTTTCTATACATCTATGTTTATTTTTATACGAGAGAGATTTATTATACAGCATCTCATAACTGTATAACCTGCCTTTTTCACTTGCTATATCTCATGAGGACTTACTTTCCTTGTCATGAAGCATGATTAATTTTTTATTTGTATAGCTACACAATATTCTGTTGTGAATTTTTTTTTTTGCAATTCTATTATGGTAGACTTTGGGTTGTTTCTAAACTTTTACTATTATAAATAACACTGCAATGATCATTTTTGCAAGTAGCTATGTTTACATTTCTGATGTTTCACTGGAACATGTCATAGAAGGAAATTTATTTTATCAAATAAAAGCATTTTGGCCGGGCACTGTGATTCACGCCTGTAATCCCAACACTTTGGGAGGCTGAGATGGGCGAATCACTTGAGATCAGGAGTTTGAGATCAAATACAAGCATTTTGAAGCTGTTATTATATTATGCTCAGTTTCATTCCAGAAAGGCTGTACCTATTTGCTTTCCTGCCAGCAGTTAGGTTAAGGGAAGACTGATGATCAACTGATTGTCTTTACCATTTTACCATTTTAATTTTAATTTTGCAGTTTTTAATAACAGGTATTTGAATGATAAAAAGCATGAATAAGTATTAGGGGTAAAGAGGAAAACATTTAAATACTACAGGGGATAGCTGAGGGGAAGAGCCACAGGAGAGGAAGGCTGCAGGCACTGTTTTCACTAGGGACGTGGAACAGCTTGGAGCAGAGGCAAGAACTGACTGTATGCCCAAGTGTGAGCCCGCTGAAGACTAGACAATCCCCGAGGTCCCCTTCAGCCTTCACAGTCCATAATTGTCTTCTAGACAGGACAGGAAAACCGAGAATGGAGTCATTAAGTGATTTACCAGCCTCATCAAAGGATAGCTCACTTTCAACAGAGCCCATTCATCTCAACTTCCTTTTCTGCCTAAAATGAACCTCCCAGCCCTGTCCTCATCTTTCTCCCCACTCACCTCCTCAGAGCCATGCAGACTCCATGGACTCGACTCCTCTGAAAGGCAACTACCCCAAACTGTAGGATTTAGCTTAGCAAATGCCTGTCAGGAATGAGACTACACCTCTGGGACTTCATGAAATGGAGGCCTGGCCAGCGTGTGAGCATTTGAGGAGCTTAGGAAGAGCAGCTTCTCTGCTTTCCTCAGAAGGAGTGATAAGATGGTAAGAAGAGCAAGTCTCAGAGTGGTGCATTTGTTTTCCATCAGGGAAGGGTGGCACTGAATGTGCAGAGATTCGTTACTGGGGGAAAGGACAGCAAATGAGACAAAAAGCAACCCGAAGAATAAAAAATCATCTTAACAGGCTTATGTCATGAGGTCTTTACTGCAGCAGCTCTCTCCCTGTCTCTTTCAGGTGGCCTTAATTTGAACCCCTTAAAATTTCTGGTTTTTGACTGGAACTGGAGAGATCAGAAGTTGAGGAGAATGATGGACATTCCCGAGGTACCACGTAACCAGCAGTTGCCTTTAATCATTTTTTTTTTTTCAACTTGAACTTGGGTTCAAACACAATAAGAAAGTCTTTGACATGAGGAGCCAGCACATTTTAGATTTTGAAATAATTTCTGCCTTTTAACTCTGAGCTAACTATAATCATAGAGGCCGCCTGGCCCCCTTACACTTAACTATATCCTTTTCATGTGTTTCATGAGCATCTGCTCTGTTGCTCCTTAAATGATCAATGGCCTCTCCTCACTAGGGACCATTCTGAGAAACAAGATGACCTGAAGGACCTGCACTTTTCCCATGCCTTTCTTTATACACACACTTGTCTTTGTCTTTCATTCTTACATGTGCACTTTTGGCTGGGGTTGGTGGAGTGGGGACACAAACTTGCCTCTGCCAGCATCTCCACATTCCCAAAAACCCACTTACTTAATTTAGAAAGATATTTTTGTTTCATGGGGTGGGAAAATTTTTTGCTGTCTCAGTGGATTAGAATTAAATGATTGAATGTCTTTATGGGCACAGCATTAGCTCATTATATATTTCAAAAGCAATCTATTATCATAGTTGATTATTTCAGTTATAATCTTAAATCTGACTTATCTACTAGGTTTCTAATTCTAATAATGAGAAATGTCCAAAAACGTCTTGTCACCCATAGTTACTTTTATTGTGTTGCTGTCATTCTTAGCATTTATCCCTAAGGTTATAAAATCCTATACTGAACTATTGTATATAATCTTGTTTACAGAAAGCACACTGGAATCCTTGAAAAACCTTTGCATAGCATTTTATTTTGAATGTCTACAAACATAAGGGCACTTTAATGAAACTGATGTTTTATATAGTACTTCTTCCTTCATTTACGTAAATATTTTAATTCTGACAGGCATGGTGGCTCATACCTGTAATCCTAGACCTTTGGAAGGCTGAGGTGGGAGGATTACTTGAAGCCATGAGTTGGAGACAAGCCTGGGCAGCAAAGCAAGACCCTGTCTCTACAAAATAATAACAATAATAGGCCAGGCACAGTGGCTCACACCTGTAAACCGAGCATTTTGGGAGGCCAAGGCAGGTGAACAACCTAGCCAACAGGGCAAAACCCCATCTCTACTAAAAATACAAAAATTAGCCAGGTGTTGTGGTGCATGCCTCTAATCCCAGCTACTCGGGAGGATGAAGCATGAGAATCACCTGAATGCAGGAGGCAGTGATAGCAGCCAAGATCGTGCCACTGCACTCCAGCATAGGCAACAGAATGAGACTCTGTCTCAGAATAATAATAATAACAACAATAATAATTTTTTTTAAAATTTCAATTCTGAATCAAATGTGTGTTAGGACTTTTGCCCTCTGTGATTCTGGCCATAACAACTGGGTAAATGTTAGGGAGTCCTGATGGTTGAATTTATTCATCAAGACCATTCTGGCTTGACCTTAATCTTTTTTTTTTTTTCTTTTCTCTCATTTAGGTAAGAAAGGAGGTATTCGAACTTCTGGAAATGGGAGTGCTCAGTCTGTGCAAGTCAGAATCTTTGAAACTGGGCCTTTTCTAAGTCTGGGTCTTAATGAAGATCCCAGTTTCCACAGTAGAAGTTGCATCTTATTTAATGACTCTGATATATTGCAAGAACCCAGTAAATATCAGCAAATAGTTTATGTTAAGTGTGTCCGCAGATGGATCACTGGAATGAGGGGATTTCTGAAACAGAAATGAATCTGTCCTTTTGACAACCCTCTTGTATAATAAAATATCACTGGCTTGTGTGTGATTTTTGTTGAGCCGGCTGATTCTCTCACCAACTGGCTTCTGATGTAACTGTGCAGGAGAAAGGGAAGAGCAGCTGTGTAACCTTAGGCAAGCCCCTTAACTCTTGAGGCCCATCTCACCAGCTCAAAGTGGGAATTTCTCATACAGCATTGTTGAGGATTCCAAGAGATAGTACATGGGGAGCAGATTTGTAAACACTGAGGCATGGTCCCAGCAAAAGGGGTGGCAGATGTGTTAGTCCATTCTCACATCGCTATAAAGAATGACCTGAGACTGGGTAGTTTATAAAGAAAAGAGGTTTAGGCTGGGTGCAGTGGCTCATGCCTGAATACAGCACTTTGGTAGGCCAAGGAGGTAGATCACGAGTTCAGGAGTTCGAGACCAGGTTGGCCAAATGGTGAAACCCCATCTCTACTAAAAACACAAAAATTAGCTGGGCATGGTGGCAGGTGCCTGTAATCCCAGCTATTTGGGAGACTGAGGCAGGAGAATAGCTTGAACCCAGGAGGCAGAAGTTGCAGTGAGTCGTACTCCAGCCTGGGTGAAGAGTGAAACTCCGTTTCAGAAAAAAGGTACGGGGGAGGGAAGGAGTTGTTAATTGACTCACAGTTTCACAGGCTGTATATTGGGCATGGGTGGGAGGCCTCAGGAAACTTACTACAGCAGAAGGTGAAGCGGAAGCAAGCACATCTTCACATGGTGATGGAGAGCAAGATAGCAAAGGGGAAACGCTATACACTTTTAAATGACTAGATGTTGTGAGAACTCACTCCCTGTCCTGAGAACAGCAAAGGGGAAATCTGTCCCCATGATCCACTCACCTCCCACCAGGTCCCTCCCCCAACATTGGGAATTGCAATTTAACATGAGATTTGGGTGGCAACACAGAGCCAAACTATGTCATTCCACCCTTGACCCCTCCCAAACCTCATGTCGTTCTCACATTTCAAAACACAATCATGCTTTCCCAACAGTCCCCCGAAGTCTTAACTCATTCCAGCATTAACTCAAAAGTCCAAGTCCAAAGTCTCATCTCAGACAAGGCAAGTCCCTTCCTCCTATGAGCCTATAAAATCAGAAACAAGTTACTTCCAAGATACAATGGAGGTAACAGGCATTGGGTAAATTCTCCCTTTCCAAGTGGGAGAAACTGGCCTAAAGAAGCTACATGCCCCAAGCAAGTTCAAAACCCATCAGGGCACTCATTAAATCTTAAAGCTCCAAAATGATCTTTGACTCTGTGTCTCAAATCCAGGCCATGCTGATGCAAGGAGTGGGCTCCCAAGGTCTCGGGCAGCTCTGCCTCTGTGGCTCTACAGGGTACAGTCCCATGTACCTTTCACAGGCTGGTGTTGAGTGCCTGCAGTATATCCAGGTATACTGTGTAAGCTATCAATGGATCTACCTACCATTCTGGGGTTTAGAGGACAGTGGTCCTCTTTTTACAGCTCCACTAGGCAGTATCTCAGTAGAGACTCTGTAGATGGGGGGGTCCAACCCCACATTTTCTCTCTGCACTGCCCCTTAGAGGTAGAGGTTCTCCATGAGGGCTCACCCCTGTAGCAAACTTCTGCCTGGACATCCAGGCGTTTTTATATATCCTCTGAAATTGAGGCAGAGGCTGCCAAACCTCAACTCTTGCCTTATGTACACCCATAAGCCCAATAACATATGGAAGCTGCCAAGGCTTGGGGTTTAAACCCCAATGAAGCAATTATTTGAGCTGTACCTTGGCCCCATTTAGCCACAGCTGAAGCTGGAGCAGCTGGGAAGTAGAGTGCCATGTCCCAAGGCTGCACAGAGTAGCTGGGCCCAGGGCCTAGCCCACAGAACCATTTTTCCCTCCTAGGCCTCTGGGCCTGTGGTGGTAGCACTGCCACAAAGGTCTCTAAAATGTCCTGGAGGCATTTTCTCCATTGTTTTGGCTATTAACATTTGGCTCCTCTTTACTTATGCAGATTTCTGCATCGGCTTGAATTTTTCTTTTCTACTACATGGTTAGGCTACAAATTTTCCAAACTTTTATGCTCTGCTTCATTTTTAAATATAAGTTCTCTGTGCTTGTGCAAATGAGCATAGGCTTTTAGAAGCAGCCAGGCCATCTCTTGAACACTCTGCTGCTTAGAAATTTCTTCTGTCAGGGAAAATGTGGCACATATACACCATGGAATACTATACAGCCATAAAAAATGATGAGTTTGTGTCCTTTGTAGGGAAATGGATGAACCTGGAAACCATCATTCCCAGCAAACTGACGCAAGAACAGAAAATCAAACACCGCATGTTCTCACTCATAGGCAGGTGTTGAACAATGAGAACACATGGACACAGGGAGGGGAGCATCACACACTGAGAATTGTTGGGGGGAACTAGGGGAAGGACAGTGGGGGGGTGGGGAGTTGGGGAGTGATAACATGGGGAGAAATGCCAGATATAGGTGATGGGGAGGAAGGCAGCAAACCACATTGCCATGTATGTACCTATGCAACAATCCTGCATGTTCTTGACATGTTTCCCAAAACCTAAAGCACAATAAAATATATACATACATACATACATTTTTAGGTATCTTTTTAGCAATGTCCCACTTCTCTGGTATCAATTTTGTGTATTCTTCCATTTCCACACTGCTATAAAGAACTACCTGAGAATGGGTAGTTTATAATGAAAAGAGGGTTAATTGACTTCCAGTTCCACAGCCTGTACAGGAGGATAGCTAGCGAGGCCTCAGGAAACTTACAATCATGGCAAAAGCTGAAAGGGAAACAAGCACGTCTTCACATGGTGACAAGACAGTGAGAGAGGAGGGGAAGTGCTACACACTTTTAAACAACCAGATCTTGTCAGAACTCACTATCATGAGAACAGCAAGGGGGAAATCTGCCCCTATGATCTGATCACCTCCCCCAACACTGGGAATTACAGTTCAACATGAGATTTGGGTGGGGACACAGAGCGAAACCATATCAGCAGGGTAGTGGTAGAAAGTGGTAAATTTGGCACATTGTAAACATATAAAAAGACAACAATATAACTACAGCTCTCTTACTCATTTACTTTGTTTAAAACTTTCTTTTTTGAAACTTCAGACTTAATAGAAAAGTTACAAAAACAGAATAGAGAATTCCCATATCCCCTTCCCTGAGTTTCCCCAGTGTTAACTTCTTGTGTAACCATAATAGAGTTATCAGAACTAACAAGTCAACACTGGTAACAGTATAATTACAGACTTTATTCAGATTTTGCCGGTTTTTACACTGATGTCCTTGTTCTATTCCAGCATCCATTGCAGGATCCCACATTGCACTTACTTAGTTGGGTCTTTTTGGTTTCCTCAGACCAGTGACAGTTTCTCAGTATTTCCTGTCTTTCATGATCTGCATTCACACTTAAGAGTAGCCATTGTGTATTGTAGGATGTCTTTCAATTTGGATTTGTCTATAATGTTCTCAGGATTTGACTGAAGCTATGCATTTTTTACCGGAATACCACAGGAACAAATATGTCCTTCCTGATTTATTATATCAGGGTACATACTGCTAATATGTTTTATTATCAGTGAAGTCAGCCTTGATCACCTGGCTAAGGTGGTATCTGCTAGTTTTTTCCACTATAATGTTATTATTTTCCCTTTGCAATTAATGTCTATTTTGAGGCAACACAAATATCTGGTTTTCCTCAAACTTTTGCCTGCTAATTCTAGCAAACACTGGGAGTTCCTGCCTGTGACAGCCATTATTGTAATGGTTTTTCTATTTTTCTCATTCTTTCAACACGTGTTACATTTATTACAGAATTCCTCTTTAAGAAAGAATTATCCCTTTTGCCCATTTACTTGTTCAATTATTTATTTACATCAATATGGACTCGATACTTATTCTATGAGTTACAAGGTAATAGTATTGTTTTTATTTTGTGGCTCAAATTCACATACTTTTTTTACTCTTTTAAGTAATGTTGATTGGTTACCCACTCTGTGCCAAGCACTGTGTTTACAACTTAGGTTTATATATAAGTGGTCATGTTTAATCACTGAAAGCGTCCCAAAGGAAAAGTGTCACTGGTCACATTGTATAGACAATGAAACTAAATCTGAGAAGGGACATACACTAGTTTAGTTGCAGAACCAGAAGTCAGACCCAGGTCTCCCATATCCTCTTCAAGATACCGACTTATCTGCAGACGCAAGCATATACAGCAAACCCGACATAGAGCAAACAGATGCCATCACTGATATTCGAAACTCTACATTCCAATTTTGTGAAATTGTAAATGAGCCTGACAGGCTAGCATGTCAACATCCAGGAAATCCCACACACCTGCACACCAGCAACTTGTTACTGATGCACCTTGCACCTCCGTGCGCTGAAAGCCACACACAGGGACCCAGAGGAAAGAAGAGTAGGTTCATTCTCCAGGACTCCCACTAGAGCCAAATAAGTTAAAAGACAAAACAAAGGCCACAGAATAAACATTTAAGCTATTGCTAAATTTAACCCTATCATTTTCATCCCTTTAACCCTAATAAGTGAGATACTCTTGCCAAGTGGTAAGAAAGAAAATGGAGCACATACCTTCTCAGTAGAGGTATTTAACTTCCTGTCAAGTGGCATGTCTTAGATTAATTTGGGGGGAAAAAAGCCATCAAGTATTACTGTATCAGAGGAGAGATTTGCAAATTAAGACATCGCGGTCTGTGCTGTCAGAATTCAGACCAATCTGCCAAGCTGCCATCAATTTGCCAAAACCAAAAACGGAGACTATTGTGAATATTATACGTGTATATTCATATAATGTATATATATTTAACATATATTTCCATCCCAGCAGTTAATAGGAAAGACAATGAAATATAAGGCAACCCCAAATATACAAAATGTCTGCTAATGCTTGAGAATGCTATCTACAGTAGTTAAAGAAAAATGGAGACAAGAACTTTTTGAAAATCACTTAGAAATTTTTCTTTTTTCCTTTCCTTTTTTTTTTAGAGACAGGATCTTGCTCTGTCTCCCAGGCTGGAGTGCAGTGGCACCATCATAGCTTACTACAGCCTCAAACTCCTGGGCTCAGGTGATCCTCCCACCTCAGCCTCCCAAAGAGCTGAGATTACAGGTATGAGCCACTGCACCCAGATTTTGAAATTTCTAGTGATACCACAATACAACAGGTGTTAACAAACTGTTGTATTGGTATTAATTCAGAACAGTGATTCTCAAACATGGGCAATAGAAGCCAGGGATGCAAGTAAACATTTTACAATCTTACAGAACAGTGTTCACAACAAATAAATATCTGGTCCAAAATGTCAGTAGTGCCACAAAAAAGAACCCCGTTCTGGATATATTGAAAGGCAACACATATGAGGTATATTTGCACATTTAAAGTAGATTTATTTAGGAGAGTAATAGATCAACATATACGTACCTGAGAATGTATATCTAGCTGTCTCTCAAGAATATTGTCCCAGAAATATTTGTCCTTACTATCTGTGATAGCCAGTTTTAATGTGGCAACTTGGCTAGATGATAGGACACCCAGACAGTTGGTCAAACATTATTCTGGGTGTTCTGTGATGGTATATTTGGATGAGATTAACATTTATATTGGTAGATCTGAGCAGAGAGGACTGCCCTGCCTAATGTGAGAGGGCCTTGTCCTGTCAGTTGAAGGCCTGCATAGAACAAAAGACTGATTGCCCAACCCCCCAAGAGAATTCTGCCTGCCTGCCTTCTAACTGAAACACTGGGTCTTCCTGGCTCTGTGGCAGCCTGTTGGCATTCAGATGTGAATTGGGACATCAGCTCTGCAGATTTCGGACTTTCAGCCTCCATAATCGTGTAAGTCAATTCCTAGTAATACACATACATAGTCATATAATCTCCTATTGGTTCTGTTTCCCTGCTGACCCCTGAGTAATATATTACCTGTGAAGCTCCTTTTAGTCTGGGATTTGGGTCGGTTGGTTTTATTGTTTCAGAAGGAGTCTAAGGAATACGATTCTCATTGGTTTTTGGCTATCATTACCTTGTTGCTAGGCATCATCTATGTAATATAATCCCATCCAAGCCAATATTGGAAGAAGTATTTGAATCACTAACATACCCCAATATTGCATAGGTGAATCCTGTTCATATAATCTAATCTCATAGCCTTTTACTGCCTTTTAAACTCTTGGTTTTTGGGGTGTGATCATGTTTATTTAGTAAAACAAATGTAGGTGTTAACTAGAAGTATTCACTGCCATCTTCTCACACAAGGTTGTCCGACACCGACAATTGTACTAGTTTGCAGACTCCAAACCAGATGCAAATGCCATGCTGAAAATTTCCCTTTGGTATTTTGCTTTTTTTACAGTTTGCAAGTGGAAAGCTTTAACTCTGAATTGGAAACTTCCTAGGGTAAGCATTTGCATTAATTTTGTATTCTTTCAAACTAGGTACATTTGTCAAAGTCATTACTTTCTTTGAAACAAAAATAGTCCAGGGTGGCTTCTGTCTAATGTAAATTACAAGCGAAAATTCAAAACTCACATGCTGCCTAATTTCTTAACTCTAATTCTAAATCCTAAATGCCAGTTTTAAAAGAAGTAATTATTAATTATTAATGGCCTAAGGAAAATAATGTTAGTAGATTTCTAACAAGGGAAAAAACCCAAAACCAGACCTAATACTGTACTTCAGTGTTGAACGTCTCATTATCTTCCTCTTCCTTTCTCTTGCCTCGTTTAGGCTACTCTAAAGCATGCACTTAGCGAGGTTAGAAGGAGATGTTTGTAATCTACATTTTCTACTAGTCTTTCTTATGGATGAAGAAAACACTGGAAGCTGCTGAGAAGAGACGTTTGTGTTCTGCAATTCCCTGTGCTGATCTCTTCCTCATTATCACAAATAACAGAGTTAGCTATGATCTGAGAGCATTTTTCCAATTTAGTTTATACTCATGTTAAGGACAGCCACATTTGGAAAAAAAGCTGACAGCCTAAACTTTTTTTTTTTTTATTAATCTCCAAGGATTTAGGCCAGTTCCTAAGATAAATCCATTTCCCCCTTTCAGAAAGGGCTTGCCTTGAATTACTCACCAAATCCCAGAAATAGCCCATCATGATTGCTTCCTAGTGTCACCAGATGTTGGTTTCCATAGACCTTGCCGGGGACTATCCCTCCTAGGCATGACATTTAACACAACAACCGCTTTGAGCCTAAGTCAGTTATACTCAGCAATGGCTGAGTGGAGAGAGCTGAGCTCCTGCTAAATAGCAGATCTGGTTAAGGAATAATCCAGGAAGCAGAAGGACTTTGCAACTTCAAAGGGAGGGCTCACATAATTCATTTCACATTACCAGTATGTGGTATTACTACGAGTTCTTACTGATTTTTATGTTCTAAATGTCCCAAAAGTATCTGAGTCACCCGTAGGACCAAAATGGAGGAGACGCCACCGCATTGCCTGTCCAGATTGCCAGACAACTCTGCCCTGAAGCAGCAGGAGTTGCCCGCCCACCAGCTATATTTCACCGCCACAAGAGTCCTCTCTGCCTTTTTCACAATGGGAATATTCTGCCTTTGTATGGGCATCATCCTCATAGTGTCTGCAAGGAGCACTCAGGAGATAGAGGTTTGTCCTATCTTATGTTTTTAATGCAGTTCCTGAGAATTTTCAGCTTTGGCAGCATAAGTGAGAATGGTCATTTGAGAACACAGCCCCTCAAGAGGAGCTGGATAAGACAGGAACATCCCTCTTTCAGCTGGCTTTCACAGAGAGTGACAGAGCCCTTGTAGACTGACTTTATTCATCCCTACTCCCTCTTGAGGACAGTTACTCTCATGCCAGTCAGCTCAGACACATTTGTGTATAAGGGACTCACAAAGTTAGAAGCTTTCTTCCCCACACCACTCACCCCTTATCCAAGATGGAGTTTTGCTCTGTCACCCAGGCTGGAGTGCAGTGGTGCACTCTCAGCTCACAGCAACCTCTGCCTCCCGGATTCAAGCAATTCTCCTGCCTCAACCTCCCTAAGTGGCTGGGACTACAGGCTCCTGCCACCACACCTGACTCATTTGTTTGTATTTTTAGGAGAGACAGGGTTTTACCATATTGCCCAGGCTGGTCTTGAACCCTTGACCTCCTGATCCGCCCACCTTGGCCTCCCAAAGTGCTGGGATTACAAGCGTGAGCCACCGTGCCCAGCCAACACTTTCTTTTATGCTGGCAGAGAAGAGAGCAAGTGGCTAATAGAGGCAGAAGGAGAGTCAAGGCCACATGACTGCCAGAGAACCATGAGTTATATTGATAAAAAGAGCAAAGTGTCCAAGACACAGATCTTGAATATAGCCCCACTTTCAAGGATTGTGTCTTTCCCTTTGCACATGAACTCCCTCTGAGATCCGGGGAAGATAAGAGCCCAAGTCTTTCTGGCATCTTAAGGATATTTAGCAAAACAAAGTTCTACTCAGAGTGAGAAAAGCTGATGCAAAGGGCAGACCTCTCAGGGACAAACCTTTTGCCAACTTGATTAACAAGCTACTGGAGAATGAAAACTGCCAAAGCTGGTCTAGAGAGGGAAAACAAGAGCTGGTCTGAGGCTTCATTGGCCATGCCCATATTCAGTCTAATGAATTAAGAATATGTTTCATCCATATCAACTCTGAGCTGATATCTGGACAGCCCAGACTGCGTGAGCTCCATTCTGAAAGAAATAACCGTAAAAAGCTGATGTATTCCCTCTCCTCACATGGCTACTAGCAAAATTAAGAGGAAGGCCAAGTCTATCAACACTGGTTTAAAATTTGAGTGCTGACTGGGCGTGGTGCCTCATGACTGTAATCCCAGCATTTTGGGAGGCTAAGGCAGCTGAATCACTGGAGGTCAGGAGTTCGAGTCCAGCCTGGCCAAGCTGGCGAAACCCCATCTCTACTAAAAATACAAATACGAGCCGGGCATGGTGGTATATGCCTGTAATCCCAGCTGCTCGGGAGGCTGAGGCAGTAGAATTGCTTGAACCTGAGAGGCAGAGGTTGCAATGAGCCAAGATCACGCCACTGCACTCCTGCCTGGGTGACAAAGCAAGACTTCATCTCAAAATAAAACAAAAGTTATGAGTGTCTGAAGGTGCCAAACGGTTCTGTTGACTGTGCAGATAAGTAAGATGAGGAAGAGTGAATTCGTGTCCTCAATGAGCTAAGGAGAGAGCAGGTAAAATAGCATGTGGTGAGAGCAGAGAGCTTACCCTTGGCTGGCTGTTCACTACGTCACCACACCCCCTTCCTTGCCCACTGCCTGGTACATGATAGGCACACACTTACTGAAAGAATGGGCTACCAGGCAGAGAGAAAAATGTCTTTTCAGGCTCTACTCCCCGCAAGGCACACTGCTCTCTTGCCTCTCTACTTACATTTTTTCCTCCCCACTTCCAGCTCCCAGCAGCTTATCTCCCTGGGAATTAAATGACAGCAAGTCCTCCAGTGTTATATGTAAACTCCCACCAGGCTCCACCATGTGGCAGAGGCAAAATGGCAGGAGGAGATGAACCTTGCCTTGCTGAAGGGGATATCAGAGGAATGGGTTTACAAGGTTGATTTCCATTTCCACAGAGTTCATGCGATACTTTTCTACTCTCTTCCTCCCCAATCTCTTTCCTTCTGGCTCTTCCTCCCTTCCTGTGTCACTCTTACTTCCTCCCTTGTTACCCCGCCCCCCCATCCACCCATTGTGGAGTGCAGCCTTCATTAAGAGGCAGCCATGCATGAGAAGGTGACCTAATGCCATCACCAACTACTGGCCATGGCCACTCCGCAAACAGAATGCTTTTATCTCATGGAAACTATGGGCATTTTCCAGCTGACTTTGTTTTTTAGTTGCTTTAGATTGCTTCTGACACTCCACTTTTGTACTCAAAAACCAGTGTTTCATTATATCCGGTGATAATATGAGTGTACCCTCCAGACCCATGTGATCAGGGACAGATAGCACAGAAAAGACTTCTGAGTTAGACTTTCCTCTTCTCACTCAGCCCTGGGGTACAAGGAAGTGCTCTCTCTGCAGTTCACTTTAAACAAGAATCATTTCCATCTCTCCAAAATTCTATGAGGAGTCGACACTGATCTAGGCTCCATCTCATAGCTATTGATGTACCAATCCACTCAAGCAGCAAACTGTCATTACACAGACAATAGATCAGGGATAATTTTTAGGCAAGAAAGCACCGTAGATACCAACTACTCAAAAATTATTTGATCATGAAATATCTTCTTGAATTCACAAGAGGAATTCACAAAGTAGCATGTCTACTACTACAGTGACCTCACAGATCAATGAATTGCTACATGAAATGATGCTGATGGGCAAAATGTGGGCCCTAGAGGTTAAGCACTTAACCCAACGTCGGAGACTGGCTGAACTAGAACCCCCGCTTCTTCAGACACCACTCCGTATGTTGTCTCTCCATAAGGATACAGCCCTGTTCTTTAGTGCTTTCTATAAACTGAAATGTAGTCTACAAACAGAAAGGACGTAAATGTTTTCAAAATAATAGTCCAAGCCTTGCTGTGTATTTTAAGAATGGTTTAACTAAATATAAGCATCTAAGAACAATGAAGTGTAGCATTTTCACTAAACTTCAATTCAGTATTCACACTTCACGTTTGGGCTTCAAAACCCTTAGAAGCTTTACAAGGATGCAAAGTTCCTTCTGTCTTCCTTGTTAGTCCTCTCTCCCAAAGAATCCTAACTTCTACTAGCACCTTACCAAGGAGAAAGCTACCCTCTTGCTTCCCTGCTCCTCTGCACTCCCATAATCACCTAATCACTCCTCAACACAGTGAGGGCAAGGCAGAAGCAGCCCATGGGCAGCACCCATGACAGCCCCAGGGCCCCTGAGATGAGCATTCTTGCAGATAAAGGCAGCAGTACAGCCCTGAGCCCACCTGCCCGAGTCTCTCTCCCTTACCCTTCTAGCTGCATCTTCCCAGAATTCAGTGTCTCAGCCAGAGCTCACAGGAGCCACCCAGTTGGGAAATACTACCCTTCTTTTTACCCTTTCTAAGGAGTCCATTAAACCATTTTTCACAGCATTTTACTTTTAAAAAACAAAATGAAACAGCATTTTAGAACCAGAATAATTTGACACATGCCAATAATCTTACATTTTGGAAACACTTCTTTTTCTGTTTGGTCACTTTTAATAACTTCCTCTGGATGCCATGTAGAACAATTCACTAGTATAAATATTTTCCATACAATAGAATGGAAAAACAGTGAAGTGATTTCCCCATAAAGTTGATTAGACCCGGACTGTAAACCTAGTTCTCATGAGTCATTGACTAATACCTTCCTAGCAACTGACACCTCTTTATGATCCGGGGTAAAGCTTCATCACAACAGGTTATGTAAATATGCAACAGAAACACCGAATGCTGGGCCAGTAGCAGAATGCTGCCAAGCCCCCAGATGAAAGCCTGTAAGAAGGCCCACGCCTCCTGAACATCTCCAGAAACACTGGGCCTGCACCTGGGGCTGCCCCATTCATGTCCCAGACTCCATGCCCCTGACCCAGACAGGCAGACACTTGGGTGGACTCCAGGTTTGAATATAAAGATATGTACCCATGTAACTTTTTAATTAATCGCTGATTTTATTCCTTGCCTGACAGATTAATTACACAAGAACATGTGCAAATTGTGCAAAACTGCGGGAAACTGCCTCTAATTTTGACAAAGAATGCACCTGCTCTATTCCCTTTTACCTTTCAGAAAAAATGATGGTGAGTGAAACTCAAGAAACTTCAGTTGACTTTACACTGATCTACTCCTATGTAACACTCAGCAGTAAGTTCACACTTTCCATCAAATGCTTTCCAAAACTGAAAATATAAAAAATAAAGCAGGATGGCGGTGGTGAATCTGAAAGATTGTTGAGTTTGCATCTCCTCCCTCCTTTTTGAGTCTTATTCTCCTCCTTTGTTTCTTTGTTTCTAAGATGCAAGATTCTTTACCTATCCAACTTTGTAACATAAATCGTATCCATCGGATTTTACTCTAAATGTCAGCACAGGGACGATGTGTGAATTAACATTGAATTTAACCACTCATTTCCTAGTGAGAAAATTAATGGGCTAGAGGTGAAGTGACTTGGCTAAGGTCACACAGTAGGTCGGTGTCAGGGTTCATACACTTGGGGAAGCCATCCCTGGGTCTCCCCAAGTCATTCCACATGTGCAATTGCCTAACTGCAAACCAGACAGCCTGGCTGTCAGGCATTGTGAGAAAAGCCAAAGAAATATTAAGAGAAGTCCCCACTCGCATGCTGATTTAAGTCTTATGTTAGTCACGTCCTCTGAGAAGCAGCTGCCAAGACAGGGTAAGACATCCAGGAAGTTTATTAGGGAAGCCTTTGGTGGAAAATGGGGAGGGAGCAGGAGGAGGTTAGGAGAGCTCTGACTTTAGAAAGGAGAAGGGAGGAGAGAAGGAAGGAGAGAGGGAAGGAGAGAAGTGAGGAATATTTTCCAGGAGATGTAAGTCTAGTTTGGAACAAGCTGAGTTGAGATGGAAGCAGAGCCTTGAGGTAGAATGCTCAGTGGGCAGCTCAAGAGAAGGCCTCCCTGTAGTCATTTATGAAGGGGAAGGATGGGGGACCAGCTCAGTGTGGAGGATGCTGCAGCCGGGAAAGGTGCAGAATCCAGAAACAGAATAGAACCTTAAAGTACATCTGAGGAGTTGAAGGAAATCAAAATTTTCATTTGGTTAACTCTTGACTAACAAGTAAGACTGTGGAGGCCATGAAAAGACTCCTCTCAGATCTGCTGCAGGGAGTGTCATTGAGGGATATCCCCAGCCGTGTGCTCTGAAATCACCATGTGTTTGCACCAAGGCCATGCTTCCATGGTACAGTAGGGACATCCAGGTAGGTTCTTTCCTGGGAGAGGGGACTTCTCTGATGGGTGCCTTTGGGCACTTCTTGTCAGCCTTGCTGAAACTTTGAGAATGTATTGTAGTCTTAGCCCTTCCTCCCTCCCTCTCTTCCTCCTCTCTTCCTCCCTCCCTCCCTCCCTCCCTCCCTTCCTTCCTTCCTTCCTCTCTTTCCTCTCTCCTTTCGTCTCGAGGGCTCAGAATGCTAAAGTTTTTGAAAAAAAAAAAAAAATCCAAAAGGACTTTAGTTTCCATCTGTCAGTGTCCTTCAAAACTAAAATAGCAAATGAAGTGTTACCAGCTGCTGACCATTCCCTTCAGGCAGAGCCTTCTCATAAAAACCCCACTAAACTACTCAGAGCAATCACAGGGCCTTCAGCTCGGCAGTTACCATATATGACATGTGGGGAACCATGGCAATGAATCCACACAAGACTCCGTCTCAAAATAAGCAAAGAAATCCTGCACAAAGTGCCACTGAATTTAAAGAGAAGAAATACCATAAAGTAAATTGTGCCTCCAGGAGTCATCAAAAAGATGGTGATCTTGGACAAAGAATTATTGAAAAGAGGTCATTGAAACACCCAGTCCCTAGTGTGCTAAATGTTCTTTGCCTGTTTATTTTGTTATTTATGTGAACATGTAACTCTAATTAAGTAGAATTCCCTTCTTAGCTTCCAAGAAAATGTATGGTAAATTCCATTTTGTGGATTTCATATTTTCTATAGTCATGGGTCAACAATAGAGGTTCCTGCTTTGGGTGAAGAAATGTAATGGGTTCTTCCACTAAGCTTGGCTTGCTTGCCTTCCTGCCAATGCTCCCTGTTGACTACAATGCAGCCTTCTTCTTCGTGGCCCAGCATCTCCCTTTTTCAGTGTTCTGGAAATTATTCTCTTACAAGTGACTTAGCTCTTCAGCCTTTCTTGCATTCTAAAGCTGGCCACATTTACCATGACTTTCCTTCCCTGTTTACCATGGGTACCACCTCCCATTTTTCATACCCATCTTAAAAAGGATGCTCTTTAAGATTCTTAAGAAATAAGGCCAACTTCCTTTCCAAAATGCTGTTTTTGCACAGGATAAAGGAATCAATGGACTCAGGGACTTGGAATGCTTTTGTACTTTTAGCACTGAATATAGCACCTAACACATGGGAAGCACTTAATAAAAGTTAGGCTTTTATATTTTTGGATGCAGGTCTTCATTATTTCAGAGGTATGGAGTATATTAATTTTAAACAGCTACACTGGACATTTCTAGATGTGCTGGTAGGAAAATCTATGAATATGTTAGTTAAATCCATATGGATATTTCTGTATGTGCTATTAGTAAAATCTGTGTCAAGTCGGCTGGAGAATTTCCAGGGCCTTAATATATTACCATAAAGGTGGAACCATGATGATAGGTTGTGGCTGGGGAGCCTTACTACATGACAGTATATAGAAAAGCATATCTCACATGACAACAAGGCTACTTATTGCTAGAGTGAAAATCACCTTCTTTCTTTTGGATCAGTGAACCATTCCACCTTTTTCTCTACAGCAAATAATTCACCAATTCTTAAGCAACTATTATGTGTCAGGTACTGTGTTAGATCCTAGAGATTAAAAAAACAAAAATTCCTAGAGTGGGACTGCAACGAGCTTCTAGTCTCAGGCCTTTCACATGTTCAGTGTGCACATGCAGCTAAATATGCTCAGTAGCTTGAATTTTTAATTCTATTTCATGGATTTGCTGTAAAATCACGTGATATTTGGTGTCACCCACAACCTCTAGGCAAAGCATTTTTCCTCATATTGCTGGGAAACGACAATATTTGTAAAACCAGATTTTATGTATTGAAAATATGCTTGATTATAAAAATTTTTCAAGGCAAGAATGCAGCAGCCCTTACAAAAACATGCAAAAATAGTTATTTAGTTATTCCAACAATTCTGTATAGACCAGGATTTCCCAATGTTAATTTTTTTTTTTCTTTTTTGAGACAGGATCTCATTCTGTCACCCAGGCTAGAGTGCAATAGCACGATCATAGCTCAGTAACTTTGAACTTTTGGGCTCAAAGGATCCTCTCCTTAGCCTCTAGAGTAGCTGGAACTACAGGCATATGCCATAACAGCCGAATGTTTTTTTTCTTTTTTTGTAGAGACAGGGTTTTGCGACATTGCCCAGGATGGTCTCAAACTCCTGGCCTCAAGTGATTCTCCTGCCTTGGCCTCCCAAAGCACTGGGATTATAGGCATGAGCCACTGTGCCCAGCCCCAACGTTGATTTTTTTTTAATGATTTATTGGGTTTCTATTTCCCATAAATAAACTTTCAGCTCCTATCAATTTTTTTGTGCTTTTATTTTATAATTTCCTGTATATTAGGCCAGGCACGGTGGCTTATGACTGTAATCCCAGCACTTTGGGAGGCCAAGGTGGGCAGATCACGAGGTCAAGAGATTGAGATCATCCTTGTCAACATGGTGAAACCCGTTCTCTATTAAATATACAAAAATTAGCTGGGCATGGTGGCACATGCCTGAAGTCCCAGGTACTCTGAGGTTGAGGTGGAAGAATCACTGGAACCCGAGAGGCAAAGGTCGCAGTGAGCCGAGATGATGCCACTGCACTCCAGCCTGGGTGACAGAGCAAGACTCTGTCTCCAAAAAAAAAAAATGTGTCTATGTTTGTTAATATTCCAGTTAATTTTCCTTACTCTCCTCTCACTTCTTGCTTTTCTCCCACACAGGGTAATGTTTATATGTACTACAAATTGCATGGCTTCCATCAGAACCTGTATCGATATATTCAATCCAGAAGTAATAGACAACTGATGGGCAAAGATGTGAAAGTAAGGCTTGAGTTAATTTGGTTTTTAAACCAAATTGAAAAGTAATTTTTTTAAACCAAGTGGATTTTTCAATCTAAAAGAGGAAATGGAAAATAAACTCAAAAGCTAAGGGTTTACAAAACAGAAATGCTGATTTCGTCCTTGTGTAAATTGAAGGGGCTGGGCATTCAGGATAACTTATTGAAAAGTAGCACTTTCCCTCTTGAGAACAGTGATGATTATCCTTTCATGTACCATTTTGATAGCAACCTTGAGTAATTAGCGTCAGCCTGGCTGAACCTAACTATCATTGTCCTTCCTGTCATGGGGGCCTTCAATCCAGCCTCCTTAAGGAAAGTAGGCTCTATTCGATTGAGTAAAAGCCTTTTGCTGTAATCGAATACCTTTTCAAACGTATGATTATACGTTGGTGGATGATACTCAGTGTGCTCACAAGATAAGCTAGAATGAAATTTTTTCCATAGTGACATTGTTAATACGAGTGATTTTTAGCAACCCCTCTTTTAAAAATGTATTTGGTAGTTGTGTGGATGGATTGATTCCCTGTGATAAATCATCTAGTTGTAGACTCATGATTTTTGTACTTTTCTGAATGTAAGTTATACTTCAATATTGCCGAGGCCCTGAGTGACTGTGTGGAACAAAGTGCCCCCCACCTCCAACAACCACATTAGGTAGTGATACAAGTGAAAAATAAGTGGTTTTTTTTTTGTTTGTTTGTTTTTTTAGACAGAGTTTCGCTCTTGTTACCCAGGCTGGAGTGCAATGGCGCGATCTCGGCTCACTGCAACCTCTGCCTCCTGGGTTCAGGCAATTCTCCTGCCTCAGCCTCCCAAGTAGCTGGGACTACAGGCGCACACCACAATGCCCAGCTAATTTTTTGTATTTTTAGTAGAGACGGGGTTTCACCATGTTGACCAGGATGGTCTTGATCTCTTGACCTCGTGATCCACCCGCCTCAGCCTCCCAAAGTGCTGGGATTATAGGCGTGAGCCACCGCGCCTAGCCAGTGGTTGCTTTTTTAAACCACTAAAATAAAATAAGTTACATGTCAATAAAAAGAGGTTTTAAAAACGTATTTCATTATAGGTTTAGCATGATATAGAGCAGCCAATAAGGTAAAGTTCTTTCTTGCAGACATTTTTGGTATGCTACATATTATTAATGAGGAAAAAACACAGAGACGCATACCCACACACATACACATCACCAAGACACAAAAATTTTCCAGTCTAAGTAAACCAGAAACCTGGGAAAACCAGGCAGCTGTCTGTAATCTTAGTAACTGCCAATAAGTCATTGGGGTGCGGGGGGGTGGGCGGTGATTGACATTGCCAGTGATCTCACATTTAACATTCTACAAGTTTACCAAAAACATTTCTCATTGCTGTATCCTCTTGCACCCAGGCTGTTGAGGACTGCTCCCCATTTAAAACGTCCAACAGTAACACCCCCATTGTTCCTTGTGGTGCTATTGCCAACAGCATGTTCAATGGTAGGTGACTTTTCCTATCTCCATGGTGTGCCCTTTGATGAGTGTGTAACAAGCTAAGCGTCCAGAAATGTACTTCTGAAGCTAAGTGGCAGTTTTTTGTTTCGTTTAGTTTTAATTCTGTAAACATCATCTGGGCTAAGCCAGAGCACTGACTTACAGTATGTCATTTGCAAATAATTTCTCTCTTGCCAGAAATCTCAAGAAACAGTCAGGAAACGTGAGCTAAATGGAGCTTAAGGGTATTTTTCAATAATTGACTCAACTTTGGCAGGAAAAAGAATCGTCTTGTGATTCCAGCATCCATGGCATGTAGGCATGTTGAGAGTCTGCAAAATCCCTGATTCATTTGTCAGCTGTGTCTGGTTCTGCATTTCAAAGGGTGGCAAAATTGCTAGACTGCATCTCTAACACAATTTTTAATTTCCTTACAGACACCATCATTCTTTCATACAATATTAATTCCTCTGCACAAATCAAAGTGCCAATGCTAAAGAGTGGACTTACATGGTGGACAGATAAGTATATTAAATTTCAGAATCCAAGTTTCAAGAATCTTGCTGATGAATTTAGAGGTAAGATCCATACAGTAAATCAATATACTTATTTATTTATAAAAACTTTGTTTTGTACATATAGGGAAATGTTTACGAGTCCGCCTGTATCTTCTTGTTGATTCCTTTCTGCTCTAACTCTCTGTATCATGAACATCTCCAGTGCATACCTATCAAAAATATGAACTGCTTGGTGCCCTGGTTTCTTCCAGTTTACATTAGGGAATAGACAATAGCTTAAGAATCTTACTGTTTCAGCTGTAATAAGGATGAACATGCAATTTGATGTCCAAACTGGTAGCTGTTAGAGAGTAAAAGGGGGCACTTGAAGAGCTGTATACTTACTTAAAATTTTTATCAATCGATAAATTGACATCATATTGATGGACTTATAAAATAATCCAATTAAAAATGATTTTCCTGGGAGGCCAAGACAGGTAGATCACTTGAGGTCAGGAGTTTGAGACCAGCCTGGCCGACATGGTGAAACTCTGTCTCTACTAAAAATACAAAAAATTAGATGGGTGTGGTGGTACATGCCTGTAATCCCAGTTACTTGGGAAGATGAGGCTGGACAATCACTTGAACCCGAGAGGTGGAGGTTGAAGGGAGCCAAGATTGTGCCACTCTACTCCAGCCTGGGTAACAGAGTGAGACTCTGTCTCAAAAAAAAGAAAAGAAAAACCAAAAAATCATTTTCAAAAATTAAAATAGCATGTACATTAAATCAACTTATAAAAAAACTACTCCATTAAAAGATGACATAAGCAGAGTCTAAGTCCAGGAGGGTTTTCAAGATGGCTGACTAGATGTATTTGGTACTTACCTCTTCCAGACAGGAACCACAGAGCGTGAGTAGGTAATCACTCCTGGAACTTTTGAGACAAAACTAGAACAACAGAGAAGTAACGGGAGGTGTTACCAGTGGTGAATCCATAGGAGTCTGCAGCAACTTGATTGTTGCCTCCTTAGAGGGAAGAATTTGGCTGAGGGGCATAGGCAGAGGGAGAGAAGAAGGAGGCAGGTTTTAGAGCAGAGTGAAAGTTGATTCAAAAGCTGTAGTGCCCGAATGGAAGAAAGTAAAGTACCCTTGGAAAAGGGCTACCTAAGAGATCCAAGTGCCCCATTCAGCCTTCGACTTGGGATTTATGCATGGGCGTGGTTCTGGAGTCTGCATCTCTCCTCCCTTGATTTTGCCTTGGGGTGGGCTGTCCGCATGCACAGTGGCCTGGCAGCACTTGGGGAGGCCACACGCGCAGTGTGTTTACTAAAGTTGTGCACATGCTCATTTAAGGCCTTTTTTCGTTACCAGTCAAGTGTTCCTAGAGGAAGGTCATATACCAGTTAAACGCCTCCATTTTGCCTCTTAGTGCACAAGCTTGAGCCCGCTCACCCAACTCCTGAGATTTTATTGGGAAGCTGATGATCACCAGCTCCAGGTGTTTCCTATTGGGAGACTGCTGTTTGCTGGCGCCAGCTGCAACCAATTATTATTTTACAGAGACAATTTAACAACCACCTGACTATCACCTGGTGGTCACCGGACATTCCTGGGTGGGGTGCCTCTCCTGCCCTGCTCTTGCCTACCTACCTACCTACTCTAGCATATGCACCAAAAACAAGGAAGGAGGGGAAGCAAAGCTACCTCTGTGGCTGGGATCAGCTCAAAGTCTGGGGAGGAGGACCTCAGTGAGGGAAAAGAGTAAGTGAGAGATCTCCAGCAGTTCATAGTCCCACTGCTGACTCCTACAGTCCTAGCCATGGGCGAGCCCCTTGACCTTCATGGGCCATGAGACTAACACAGGGAGCTCCCTGGAAACCACATGAAGGCATTACCCCAGAAAGAGAACTCATGGTGGGTCACACCAACTCCGAAGTCCTAAGCAGCTGCAGCACAGCACCATTTTGAGAGCCCAGCACATACCGGATTGCATCCTGGGCAGCTGCCTGAGCCTCCTGCCTGGGAAGCAACAGGAGCCACAGGTTGCCATCTTCCCCCAGCAGAGGGGCAGCCATGTGTTTTCAAATGTCTGGAGGACAAAGAAAAACAACTCTGCCTTCATCACTAGGAAAGCTATGGCCCAACATGAGCAATCTGCCTTCGGCCTTGGCATCACTCCACCCTGGCCCACCACAGTCAGCATACGCATGCACCACTGGGGAGCCTGAGGGCACTGCCCAGCCTGGCTCCTACTCCTGCAATACCTGGGCACATTGTCCAGGAGCCTGGGAACCACACAGCCCAGTCCACCACCAGTGGCACATGAGCACTCCTCCCAGCATCTAAGGTTAGGCCCACTCAGCCTGTTGCTAACACCACAGCTGGCACCCACCCACACATGCCACCTGCCCAACTGGCTTGCCCAACCCATGGTAGCTACCACCAACACCAGTGAGGACCACTGGGGTCCCAGAGAATTGTCCCACCACTGCTACTGCCATTGCCCACAGCACGTCCACTGCCCAGACACTCGAGAACACATCAATCCACCTGGCCCATCACTGCCATTCCTGGCACCCACGCAAGCCATCTGGAGGCCCAAGAAGCAGCCTGCCTGGGCTTACTAATACCAGTCACAGCGTACATCCTGGGGTCCAGGGACAGCCATGCTCACTTCATTGCTGCCACCATTGGGGCCCCAAAACTGGACTATCTGGTGCCCTGGTCTCCAGCAAAACTTCACCACAGTCTCCACTAACAACCACACTCTGAGCTACAGAAGAAATCACTGACACCATGGATGCTGTTTATAGCCAAAGAAATTACAGACACTTTAACTGCCCGGCGGGTTCTTCCTGCCCTTGCATAAACAAAATTGATCTGAGGCTGGTCACACCACCGGGGAAACGAAATTATTACTCAAATCGATCTCAATGAAGGCACCAAGGTTAGGGGTTTTTCAAAGATAGTTTGGTGGGCAAGGGGGCAACCTCCTGGTCTGGAGGCAGGGTAGGGGACATGCCGATTGGTTGGGTCAGAGATAAAATCATAGAGAATCAAACTGTCCTCTTGTGCTGAGTCAGTTCCTGGGTGAGGGCCCAGGCGTGGCCATCTAGTTGCCAGAAATGCAAACCCTGAAAAGACAGGCCAGGTGTGGTGGCTCACGCCTGCAATCCCAGCACTTTGGGAGGCCGAGGCAGACGGATCATGAGGTCAGGAGATTGAGACCAACCATCCTGGCCATGGTGAAACCCTGTCTCTACTAAAATATGAAAAATTAGCTGGGTGTGGTGGCGCGTGCCTGTAGTCCCAGCTACTCAGGAGGCTGAGACAGGGGAATCGCTTGAATCCAGGAGAAAGAGGTTGCAATAAGCCAAGATCATGCCACTGCACTCCAACCTGGCAAAAGAGCAAGACTCCATCTCAAAAAAAAAAAAAAAAATCATGAAAAGAAATCTCAAAAGGCCAATCTCGGGTTCTACAATAGTGATGTTATCTGCAAGTAACTGGGGAACTTGCAAATCTTATGACTTCCAAATAATGGCTGGTAAGTATTTAGAATTCAAGCCTCCTAACTTGGCAGCCTGTCATTAGGTTTTTTTTTAGTCAGAGTCTCACTCTGTCACCAGGTACCAGGCTGGACTGCAGAGGCACAATCTCAGCTCACTGCAACCTCCGCCTCCTGGGTTTACGCAATTCTCCTGCCTCAGCCTCCCAAGTAGCTGGGACTACAGGCACATGCCACCATGCCCAGCTAATTTTTGTATTTTTAGTAGAGATGGGGTTTTCACCATGTTGGCCAGGATGGTCTCGATCTCTTGACCTCGTGATCCACCCACCTCAGCCTCCCAAAGTGCTGGATTGCAGGCGTGAGCCACCACACCCGGCCCTGTCATTAGTTTTATAGGAACAGCCTGATTTTGAGAAAGGACTATTATCACTTAAAACCATAAAGTTCTCCCAAAGTTAGCTTGACACACGCCCAGGAATGAGCACAGCCAGCCAAGCTGTGTGGCTAGAAGCAAGATGGAGTCAGCCATGTCAGATACCGCTTACTGCTGTAATTTCGCAAAGGAGGTTTCAAAACTACACTACTGCATGCAGCAGAATCAAAGCCAAAGTGCCCTACCAACCAACGCCATAGACATATCTTTAAAAAAACAAAATCCTTCCCCAGAAAAGCAAAATTCAAAAATTGGAAGACTTGACTGTTATACCAGATGCACAGGTATCAATGGAAAGATACAGAAAACATGAAAAAGCAAGGAAATGTGATACCTCCAGAGTAACAATAATTTTCCAGCAACAGATCCCAATCAAAAAGAAAGTTGTTCAGGAATAAGTTAATTTCCATGAGTTTCTCCTGGAATTTATTTCTAGTTTTATTCCACTGTGGTCCAGGAAGGTACTTGGTATGATTTCAGATTTTGTTTTGTTTTTTTGTTTTTTGAGACAGAATCTCACTGTGTCGCCCAGCTGGAGTATAGTGGCGCGATCTCGGCTCGCTGCAGCCTCTGCCTCCTGGGTTCAAGCGTGCCTTACCCTCCTGAGTAGCTGGGATTACAGGCGTGCACCACCATGCCTGGCTAATTTTTGTATTTTTAGTAGAGGCAGGGTTTCACCATGTTGGTTCAGCTGGTCTCAAACTCCTGACCTCATGATTTACCTGCCTTGGCATCCCAAAGTGCTGGGAAGACAGGCATGAGCCACCCCACCCAGCCGTAATTTCAGTTTTTAAAAGTTTAATGAGATTTGTAGTGTGGAAGAAATAAACACAATTGATAAAATACTAGCTTGACTAACCAAGAAAAAAAGAGAGATGCTCCAAATAAGCGAAATCAGAAATGAAAAAGGAGACATTATAACTGATACCACCAAAAAAGAAGAAGAAGAAAAAAAGCTCATCTGAGACTATTATAAACAACTAACAAACTTTAATACTAACAAACTGGAAAACCTAGAGGAAATGAATTCCTCGAAGCATACAACTTTGTTTGAACTAAGTTTCAATGAACTTTCAAACTTATTCAAGTTTGAACTAAGTTTGAATTAGAAAAAAATAGAAAACCTGAGCAGATGA